TTGAAAAGTTAAGTTAAGGATAGTAAAGTTCGCGTAGAGCGTATTCGGCTTTGTGGCCTTCTTTTAATAAACTCAACGTGGAATGTGAAAGCAGTATTTGCTATTTTAGGAGAAATGCTTGGAAATATTATTTTTTGTTCAGCAGCATTTATATTGGCAATAAAAGAGGTGCATTCATAGCGCTAACTGTGTTAAAAATGAAATCTTCAAAAATGTGCTTTAACCATTAACTGAAAAAAACTGGATTAATTTTCATCAAATCATACTTTGACTACAGTTGCAGTTTCGTTCGCTGCACTCAAAATTTCAAGTTTGTTCATCACAATTATTTCCTGATTGTTTGAAATGCTCATTTTTTAAGCACGATGCATTAATATGTCGGAAAGAAACTTCGGGCGTTCTACTTTTGATTAAAATAGAGTTTTGTTATTTAATTTAGTTCACTGCCCGTCTTTAAATCGGTTTTATTATTGTCATGAATTGTTTTGACCTTTAAAGCAAGTTCACTTTTCTTTTCACATCGTGGGCATTAATTGTAGCCAGTTTTCAGTTTTTGCATGAGGATTTTGGTATATTGTCTTATAGGTTTCATCGTACATTTGTTGCGCCTAACTTTCTCTTGAGTTGCATTGGTTCATTACTCTTTAATTTTTTTAGCAGCTGTAAAACGTGTCTTTCTTTCTTCCAACTTTCTGCTCGAAAGTCTCCTTACCTCGCATGAAAGCAATCAATAAAGCTTATTGATTTTTGCCGCTATATGTAATTTATATCCGTTTTTCCTCATTCTTCACTAGCTTCTTCCCAGCTCTTATTTCATTTTCAACAGTCTTTTCTTCTGTTTTTCTCTCCTTAATGAATCTTTGCGTGTTCTGCATCCTCGTGTCAATATCTTTTATCTGCATTTAGTACATTACTTTAATTTGTTCTTCAATCTTATTGTTAATAAGAATGTGTCTGCCCTTTTGGCATTCATTAGAATATGGAACAAAATAGGTTACTTGAAAAACATATGTTTTTCGTATTGAGTATTAGAATATTAGCCAGTTATAAAGGAATATCTCTCAGTCAATTAACTCAATTTCCGTGTGAGTAATATTTTTTTTGAAATACGCACTCAAACTTTAGTAAATTGTTGAGTGTCACCTCAGCGGCCAAAATTTAACTGATATGATTCGTTAATTGAAATTCTACCCCTTATATGTGCTGCAAACACCAGCAGCACGGTACATTAAATTGTAGAACAGAACACATTCTGTATGAAAGGACGACACCCAAGGGTCAACATCATTTTTCAACCAATAACACAGTGGATAAATCATTCCCGATCGCATATATCCCCGCAGTGAAAACAATTACAAAGCCAATTGCCAGGGCGAATATTAAAACCAGAAATCAAAGCGGAGGATACTTTGATTAAGATAATGACGTTACGCGGTATGGACCCATCTAGTAATCGGTTTGCAGACTTTGTTGACCGCAAATCCATTAATTGTCTGTCACATTTTGCGTGATGGGGCTGTTTGTTCGAAACGATTCGTTTTGTGAAACTCCACCGAGGGGACTGTATACCATTTAGCGGCTGAACACAAACGCTGGATTAAATAACTTCCCTGTGTGTAATCGGGCAGATAAACTTGGTTTGCTCTGTTGCTTTTTTTGTACCGCTCTGGTTCACTGGTCAATTTTATTGGACCTTTGATCTTCCAAAGTTCCAATGGCAGAGATTCGAAATTGAGAGAAAGTCAAATAGTGATACTTTTAAATCAGCTGGCTAGTGAATGCTATTTGATTACAACCACCAATTCGATGAATTGTTAATGTTTATCAAATAGTTCTTCGTTTGAACTGAGTTCTGTACGAAAGCTTCGTTTGGATTTCTAAGAATTTTGAGAAATTATTCTGAATATTTCTTGTTAATAATATTATATTTGATTCTTTACCAATTGGAATATAATCTTAGCCGTAACGGAGGTCTTTATATGCCCCATAAAATAATGGAACGCAATTAAATCTGATGGTCAGGTCTTGGTCCATAATTGCTCTCCTTATTTAAGGATTACAGCACTCTACATTTCAATATTTTCAGGCGACTGACGGAAAATGTTTAGTTTTATCGCAATGTATGTACACGCATGCCACTTTCAAATAGAAATCGCCTCTTACTTGCAAAAATATATCACTTTCTAGAAAATTTAGTACATTTTGTCGCCGATTTAAGAGGTCTAATAAAGCTCATAAAGCTAATAGGAAAGGCCTTGCTAAGAACGACAGTTTGATAGGAACTTGAGCAAGTTTCTCTAGTAATATACTTTTTTTGTTAAATCTTCGATTCGTTGATGGTTTAGGTATACTTCTAGAGTGTATGTAGTGAAGGGTAAGAAGTAAAAAGAATGTAAGAAGGGCAATTAATAGCATTTATTTAAAAGATGAATTTACTGGTTTAGACAAAAACTACTATGGCAGTTACATTTACAGTTGTTTTGACATCCTAAACAATGTTTTAAAGGAATTTAACTCTGTCAACCGCGGGGTGATTCAGAAGAAATTGTGGCAATTTTAATTTTTAGTTAACTTTTTCTCGCATTTCGGTTATTGTAAATGAAATAGTTTAAATAAAAAACGTTTTCTCTAACGAAACAATGTTTTTGATATTTTTTCGTAAAGCGCTGTCTTCGTCTCTGTTAATTACTCTGAACACAATTTATTAAGGAATCGTTTGCCACAATATCAACGGTACTAATTAGCACTTTCTTGGTTTCATTTGTAGACGAATTTGCTTAGATCTAGATTTTCCCGTCTATCGTCCACGTCTTCTATTTCAAATTTTTTTTAAAAGGAACATCCAAGACGGTTTTTATATAGTTTCTACGAGTAGACACAATATTTGATATATTTTTTAATGGAAATATTTATAAAACTTAATATTATTTGCATTTAATAAATTATCACTTACATTCAAAGAAAATACCGATGAAACTGAAGGCGGAACGCAACTAGAGGAAGACGGAAGGATATGATTACAAACTAATTGAACGAAAAATAAAAAACCACACTTCTCACTGACAAGACTCACAGTCTTAGACTTATTCTAAACTTAAGATCCTGAAAGGTTCGAAATTTAACAGTTAAACAACGGACCAAAATAAAACGTCTGTAAAAAAATTGTCTGAATGAAAACATAAGAATCCTCAGATGAACTGGATGAATTGAATGAAAAAATATTAAAACAATGAGGTGCTAATAAATCAGACACACAGTATTGTAGAGTACTTAAATAAAATTTGGCCTGTGACCAAATTATTTACCTATTCATCAATCTACTTGCTATACCAAAGTGGACTTTCCATAATTTTTCAAATCCGAATTTAAACTGTACCTAATTAACCGGTCCACAAATGTATTTTTAAACAGGCGACTCGGACGTTTTCTTTGGCTCTTTCCCAACACGTTGAATAGTAAAAAGAGTGAAGAGTTATAACTAGATTAGCGTATTACGATGCATTGAATGTGGTGCCCTGACTTTACTTTTATCACGTTAGAAACTCTATAAAACGGCCACTTTGGAGAAAGATGGGTTTGCGAATTGCAGTTTTAATGTGTTGTTTAGTGACATTTAGTCACATGTCCAGTGCTAAGGACCGCGTGAGAATTGGTATGTAGGTATGCGGATTTAGATGCTAGCTGACTTAGTTAATACATATTAATGCTTGTTTCAAATATTTTAATTCACTCTGAGCGCGTGTCCTTAAGCTTACACTAAACTAACAACATGTTTAAGTTTACATTTATATAATAACAAACGTAAAATGCTGTTTGAATGTTTAAGTGTTTAAGTGAAACTACTCATACAAATTAAAAAACGTACTTGAATCTTCGATTACCAATTGGCCGAAAATTAAGAACAACAAAATCAACACAAATAAGGGCGATGTTGGAATATAATTTTAAATCACGTTAATTTTCAGTAGAAATTTTCATATTTTTAAATTATGACCAGAAACAATGCAAAAATAAACTCACTGAGATATTTGCAAAAAACATATTTATTTCCAGAACGTGTCAAATTAGGAGGAATTTAAATTAATTTCAGCACTAACTTCAAAATAAAAAGTGCCTTTGTCCAGCACATTTCCCATATTTAATATACAAGTATACCAAATAAAAATTATAACATAATCATAGCTTAGATCGTGACATCAATCAACTTTACTAGTACGTTAAAAGATCGGCTATGTTTCTTTATTTTTGTTTCATAGTTATTTTATAGCAATCTAGTTCATTATACTAATAAGCCGTTTGTCTTTAACTTAATCTTCTACATTTAAAAATGCAAACCACACACATCCTCTGATAGGCCTTTATCTGTACTACTTAGGACAGGGTTATTGATTGAACTTTGGCCACCACGGTTTTGAATCTAATTTGAAATTTAGAGAAACATATTTCAATGCATAAATGCAATGCAATGCAGTGAGATGCAGTGCAATGCGATGCAATGCAGTGAGTGTGCAGAGTATGCAAAAATATTTAAATGCAATAACGTCTAGTTTAATTTAAGATAATACCAATTAATACAAAAAGTGTCTGAAATTCAAGTGGCAGACCAGACTTGCATTTTTATAAATGGAATGACACAATTTTTATTACATATTATGCATTTATTATTAAATATGAATTTTCTATATTGATCTTCAACTGGTTTCCAGTTAATAACCATATTGATCAAACTTTGACCAATTTTAATTGCCAATTGCACCAAAAGTTGGGCGTTTTTTCATACTTTTCGTCAAGTTTAGCAAAATTGCAGATTTTTGTGAAATTTGGTCCGCTTTCGATAAAACCTTTTTCTTTACGGTGCAAAAATTTCAGTTTGTTGATGTAAGTGGTTTCGGATTTACGAATTTTTGTTTAACTGCACTTTAAGTTGTACGGTTTTTTTTAAATTTTTTGTCAAGTTTAAATTTTTTTTGGAAAATCAGCAGGAGGAAGGTTTGAGTGAAATTTGGTCCGCGTTTCGATAAAGCCTTTGTCTTTATGGTGCGAAAATTTCAGTTTGTTGATGGAAGTGAATTGGGAGTTACGAATTTTTGTATAACCACACTTTAAGTAGTACCTTTTTTTTAATTTCTCGTCAAGTTTAAAATTTTTAATTTTTAATTTTCTGTCGAGTAAATTTTTTTTGTAAAATCAACAGAAGTGGGATTTTTTGTGAAATTTGTGCGCTTTTTGATAAAGTCTTTTTCTTTATGATGCGGAAAGTTCAGTTTGTTGATGTAAGTGGTTTGGGCGTTAAGAATTTTTGTCTAACTACACTTCAAGTTGCACGGGTTTTTATAAATTTCTCTTCTTCTAGAATGTTGCGAATAGTTCGAATATGCTATAAAAAGTGCGGCATTCTATTTAAAAAAATGCAAGTTTGATCCGCGGCTTTAACTTGAGACACTTTGCATCAATTGGTATATAATTGGTTAAAATAAACTACGCGTTATTATCTACAACTTCTGTATTTAATGTTTTTTCCTAAATTTCAAGTTTGATGTAAAAACGAGGTGGTCAAAGTTGAATCAACAACCCTGTACACCGGTTTAACATGTACTCTCTTAAAAATTCTTGCCTTCTAAACCAGTTCAAATGATTTAGTTCTTTTGAGTCATCTCTGGATATTTCCGCATTATCCAGGAGCATAAGCGCCTCAGAATTGAGATGTCGATGGAGTCACTGTTCATGATTCTGTGCATACTTTTTGATGAGGTAATCTACTGTTTCTACGCCCACGTCCCAAGGAAAGTAGAATTTTAGTTCTTATATACCATGGTGCGTCAACGATACTGCGAAGTACTTTATTCTAGAAGCGTTGGATGAGGTTTCTACTGCTCTATTTGGTGCAGCCGCAAAATTGCACACCATAAGTCCAGACTGGCTTGAGGACTGGACCATATAACGAAATAGCTTGTTATAACAAGTTATTGTTATAACAAGTGTGACATCCAACAACAAGCATGACACATTGTATACACTGTGAGAGCTGAGTTTCTACTTAATAGCCAGTACATCTTTCGGTTCTTCAGATTTAATTCTTCCTGTTTCTTAATGACTAGTGGCTTCCAACCGAGTTCTGTATGGAGGGCAACGCCTAGATATTTAGGTGTATTCCTCTATGGTACAATCTTGTCATTAATGTATACTGCTTGTAGTCTATTCGCTTGTTGGTGAAGTCGATATGGACCGATTTATTTTCATTTAATTAGATGCGCCAGTTCAAGGTCCAACGTTGAACCTCATCTGCTTGGAGTTTTTCAGTAGATTGCATATTGCCGTCGCCTATCGCTAGGATTGCAGTGTCGTCAGCAAATATAGCAACAACATTTTGATTACCAACAGGCAGACCCCATGTGTACAGTAGATAAAGTATTGGTCCCAATACAGTACCCTGTGGAACACCTGCTTGAATTTCTTTAAGATCAGAGTAAGCATTGGCATGCCTGATTATGAAGTACCGCTCAGTTACGTAAAATTCAATATTTGTGAGTACTGAACCGGAAGTAAAATTTCAAGTTTATGGGTCAAGCCTTCGTGTCGGACTTTACGGAAAGCCTGTGCAACATCTCGGAATATAGCTGAGCAAACTTTCTTCTCTTTAAGCGAGCTTTCTATAGTATTGACGATTCTATGGACTTAATCAATTGTAGAGTGTTGATTGCTGAAACCGAACTGATGATCCGGGATAATCTGTTGATCTTCAGTTATTGGTTTTAGTCTTTTCAATAGAAGTTTATTTTCTTCATAATGACAAATATTTCTTTTGATTATTACCGCACTGCAACCTTTCGCTGCGTTTTCTGGATTAGTTGCATGGTAAACTTTCTATCCTTCAAATTTATTAAATGTTTGCCTTGTGAAATGTGTTCCTGATATTAAACACACTTCGATCTTATTTATGTCACAGATTGATTGAAGCTCTTGTTGATGCTTTAGCAAAATCCATTTGCTTCCAAGTCATAATTTTAATTGTACTATGCATTATGGTTTTTCAAAACTTTTGAGTATAAATTTATTTTAGTATCTTCTTCAAGTTTTTAAATTTTTTGCTTTACACTGAAAATTGTACCTTCCATTGGAGTGATTTTTTTTAATATAAGCTGTAATATTTCGTAAGTATTACTTCCTTATGACTTTGTTGGTTTCTTTGTCCCCATCGCAGCTATAGAGACGTAAGTGGGTTTAGCCTGATTGTGACTTTCTTTTCTCCCTTGATCTTTTTGTTGCTCTGTTGATTTTTTTTACTGACGTTTGTTGGGCTCGTTCTGATAGCTTCCTTGTTTTTATTTTTTAGTTACTTTTTCACGACTACACATCCTCGATAGCTGGCAGGGGGTTCTTCTCCACAGTTTACACATTTCAGGTCATTTTCGTTTTCAGATTTTCGCCAATCGCTTGCTATGTGTTTGCCTGCACATCTTAGAAATCTGGGCTCTTTCGCACAAAATTTTTGTGTGTGTCCAAAGCGCTTGATATTTCTTACATTGAGGAATTAATTGGGATGCTTGTAGTGGTACAAYTTCTACTTTACTGCCCAATATGTGAGTTATTTTGTATATTTCATCATTCATTTCATCGTCATTGGCAAACGTTAGCATGAACCATGAATGGAGATTTTTCTTTTCATGACATCTTTTTATTGACCTCAATGATTTTATAGCCCTTTTTATATATAGGTGTGCTTGAAAATAGGTGTGCTTGAAAATAGSTGTGCTTTGAAAAAATTTAATTTTCTGGATTGCAGGAGCTATGCAAGTTATTGCTCTTACCGATTGCCATTCATCAGCTATGATGAATATATTTAAATCAATTTAATTCAGTACATCTAATGTTGTCAATATTTGATTTAATAGCATTTTTCGATGAAAATCAAGAGAATATCGCCTACTTGGACCTGCTAAATGAAGATCTAGATGAGCGAGTAGAATTGATATTGGATAATTCTGAAACTTCTGATTTACACAAATTGTCTAACAGCGACATACTCGATGCCAAAAGAAAATGTGAGTAAGGTAATATTTGCTGTGGATAGTTTGTAGTAAATTTGAAATGTTTATGCTTGCAGTTTGTTCGTTCATCGAAGATACCAACGATGGACACTTAGGAGCCGTAATGGCACCCAAATCTCAAACTGTTTCGTCTATCTTAGAATCCATCAGTGCGTATTTAAATATTCCCTATTTAATTACGTCATGGAGACCTAGGAGAGACTTTTCTCCTGAAAATGTATTTAACTTGTATCCGGATACAGACTTGTTTTCCAGAGTAAGTAGCTTTTACTAAAATATATGAGACTATTTTGTAATACCCAATCAACAAAATGGTGGCGATGAACACATTTTTCTGTAGGGTCTAGCAAGACTTATTGAATCTTTTGACTGGAAAGAATTTGCAATTTTATACGAAGACGATGATGGACTTCTAAGATTTCAAGATACACTGAAGATTCAAAAATATGACAAAGACATTTCAAAAAATAAAATTCTAATACAAAAATTGGATAGTTCAGGAAATAACAGGTAGAATTAATTTAATAAGGTTTATTCGTTGTTGTTCAGTGTTAAACTGAAGTATTAATTTCTGGAATGTGACACATTGCTAGCTTCATGTTTAGTGTTTCGACACTAATTTAAATGCAAATTAGTAGTACTGAATAGTTATCGGAGGGAATGTCGCCGGTGAGATTAATGTCGCGCCTCTTTCTTAGTTTGCCAGTTAGAAACAACATACATTGTTTCATACAAGAAAAAATATTATATTGCCAAGATAAGTTTCCCAAACAACACGAGTAGCTTATATTTAGAAAAATTTTTATATGCATTTGGGTGACGCACCTGAAAATATTACTTCAACGTTAATATTTTCCATATTTATTGAGACCTGCTGCAATTAATGTTTTGTGAGTGGTTTCTGAAAGAGACTCAACAACTGTGAGATTTATTTCGATAGATTGAACCATTCCTAAATAAGCCGAAATGTTCGAATTTTTCAGTTCTGTATCTATACGAATTCCAAATGTTTTTTTTTTGTTTTTTTTATTAATTTTAACTTATTATTTTCGTTTGTTAGTATCAATAGGAAAATTTTAGATTTCAAAATTAAAATGTCTGGAAGCGAATTTTTAATCAAATTCCAATGCTTTCAATATTCTACATAAACCATATTTGCTTTAATTATTTCATGTTGGACTACTTAATTTTATATTAGCTTTTCTTGATTTTGAATCATATTTCATACCGATCGATTAAAGTTTGTTCATTTTTCAGACCCATTTTGAAAAGGTTAAAACAGTTATCAGTTAACCGAATTATTATCGATTGTCATGCGGATAAGATTATGGATATTTTTCAACAAGCCCTAGATGTGGATCTGCTCGCTGACGTCTCACGGAGTTTTTTTTTAACCTCATTGGTAAAATTGGCTCTATAGGAATTTTTTTATACAATTATATTATATGGGCTTATGTAATTATTAAATTCTGTTTCAGGATGCCCATATGTTGAATCTTGACGAACTTAAATCTAACGTTAATATAACTACTTTAAGATTATTTAATCCTCATGAAGAAAGTTTTAGGAATATTGCTAATAAGTACTTTCCGAATATTCCTTATAACAAAATTACGGTAAGCATTTGCAAACCCAACTGAAAGAAACTATTCTAATAACTAAATCTATTTCGAGTCTTCCTTCTTTTTCAATTTCTATTTTGTAATTGGAGCCGGTAAAAATTTATTGGGAAAACTTTATGGGACTTTAAGAAACCGCATTTTTAATTCATTAAACCTTTATTTTAGAAAAGTCAGATATATTGACTACTTTTATATTAACGTACCTTACGCGAATATATAGGTTTATGTTCAGATGGATTTAAAAAAAAATTGTTGTTTTGGGATATGTTAATACTTTGAAAAAAATTTCAACTTTTAGGTCGAAAAAGCATTAATGTTAGATGCGTTACTGGTTCTGACATACTGCATAAATGAGCTTAAAGCACAAAATACTGATTTTGGGTTTCGAGAAGTGAATTGTGGAGCCAACGAGAAATATACAGATGATATAGGGCTGATTAGTATGATGCAACAGGTGATTAGTAATCATTGCTCTTGTGTGATTGTAAAGAAAAAAAAATGTATTACTTAAATTAATTCTTGTTTTATCATTGAGGAAGAAGTTTCCTGGTATAGAAGAGACAGAAGCTTGAATACATTTAGCCAATGTTGCAGATTGTATTGCTCTTGAATGATGGATGGTTAAAAAAAACCAGAAATTGATTTACTGAAGTAAATTGTACACACGTTTGAAATCGAACCTTTTAATGTTTATTTCATCTATAATGTTTTTGTCTCCCAAAAGTACTTGAAATAAATGGAATATCGGTTTCAAAATTTTCAAAAATATGAAGCATATACATTGATTTTAAAATATTTCTGTAGTAAAAAGAGCTTTTGGACATGTTTCCTGCTTTTTTCCAAACAATTTCTGAATATTTAATGCAAAGTTCATAGATTTCAAAACCAGACTGAGAAAAAAATTGTCAGTTTCTGAATCCATACCTGGAAGGCTAAGACTAAGGTCTAAACATAAGCAAATAAGCGAATTGGCAGTTTTAAATTTTAAACAGTCAGCTCACTTTATTCATGTCGTTTATGTTACGTTTAAATCAAATTTTCAGATTGAACGTTCTGGCACTCTAACCGGTCCGATTTCGTTTCAAAATGGCAAACGAGATAAATTTGTGCTGGAGGTAATTGAAACTCTCAATCCCTTGAGTCCAATAGGAATATGGAGATCGGAGAATCCCGATAAAGTCATGTTGACAAGAAATGCAACTCAACGTGAAGAAGAAACGATGAGAAGGCTTAGAGCTCACAATTTTATTGTAACTTCCAAGTAAATAATCCAATTCATAAATTTATGGCTCCCCTTTATGTATGAAGTTTCACCTTTCGTTTTTCATTAACAGTAAATGCAGTTTTCTTTTTCGACTTTAAATATCAGTTAATTATTTATTATATGTACTTCATGTTGAATCTCTTCCAAACCTATCACTTGGCTGGTTTTACTGAAAAATTTGTAATAAGGTATTTTGCATCAGCTTAATTAGAATCTACTACCCTTTCTGGAAAGTGCCAAATAGATAACAAGAGCAGCTGTGATTGTCTGCTAATGTTCTATTCATAATATTTCAGATATTCACACACTGAATATAGGTTTGTGTTCTGTTTCATGAATAGGGAGTTTTTAGGCCCCTTAATTGCAGAACCTTTTACGTTATCCGTTATTCYGAGCATGSGCATTAGTAAAGAAATAACCGTTTRCGTTATTAGAGGATAACGTGTTCATTTATTTATGTACGAGTAGCGGTAACGTTAATAAGCACCACGTTAARAAGCAGAACCACGATGTTGACTTATTTATAATATTATTAATAGAATAAGAAATGTATTGTAAATTTAAATAARACTCTTTCATTGATTAATTTACGCGRTTATTGCGTAATTACGGATTYTATGTGAAAATTCTTTGGGCAAATTTGGACTTTGGCAACACTACTAACATCGCACGGACAGGTTCTAACTTCTAACCCATAACCTAACTATTTGATTTTGAATTWTTATTTAATRTGTTCGAAATWTGTTCCTTCTGAAACCTAAAMTTGATAAGGCAATCTCTGGTCTCAATATTTTCTAAATTAAAAATAGCTCTTCGGTTTGCAACAACAGTAATGACCTGATGACATGATGACAATAATGTCGTGTAAAATGAAGCCTCTTATTAAATCGTGATCCACATCTCCTGGTCATTCCGGTGCAGAAAGGCAGCTTCWATGTTTTCTTCCATCTTAACCACTTTTTGTTTAATAACAATACAAACTTAAACTAGCTTTGAAACTTTTCCATACAAAAAGGGACAAGAAAACAATAAAGTGAGGTTTATTTTATTAAGAGTGCAGCAAACGCGGTATCAAAAACTTAAAAACGCACTTAACGTTATTTGCCTGAACACCTTATTTTTAAACACTGGGCATGATCACAATAACGTTTTTAAGGGTAATGTAATTTTAAGGGACCTAAAAACTCTCTATAAATTACTTTACGATATTATTTATACCTAGACCTAGAAGTAATTTTTTTTTATTATCTCCCAGTAATATTACAAACTACTCGAAGGTATTCAGAAATTTTGTTTGACATACAATTTTAAGAAACTGACATACAATTCAACATGTAGGGTATTGGCCATCCAAATCCCCTATTTTAAATCAATTAATTAATTAGTTGTTTTTGACTATTGGGTTTTCAAAGCGTTTTACTTAAATCTAGTAGTTATGTTTGGAGGATTTAGAAGTAAATAAATTTACAATATTATTGAAATTAATTTAACAATAATACTACTCTTCTCTATTAGGCAATAATGATTATTTTACTTAGTGACTTAAATCGGACTCTTGGTAATTCCTGGTCGTAGGTTCTTTATTGCAATGCCCTGCAATGCAAACCAGGCTTTTCCAGACAAACGTTAAGAGCTGATAGTGCCTGTTTTTCTAGAAAAAACATTGTATAAATGTACTCGTTATCGAGGTACAGACTGTTAAAGTTTAAATAAAAATTTTGTTTAATTTCAATAGCTCCTTTATTAATTTTACTCTTGTCTCAGATTTTTGGGGTGTGGGGATTAAATAATTGAAATCTCGTTTCTGCACTTGAAAACATCGAATTTTCTTTGGTCGCGTCACATTTGCTGATGTTTCCAAAAAAGTTTGATTGGAACTACATGGTATTATTTATAAACACGTTTTAACATTTTCAATTCGAAATGTTGCATATTCTTTATGTGTTTTGGATTTTGTAATGGAAATTCAAGTGTGCCAGTTAATCGTAAAGTGCTGACAAGAGTTTATCGGAAATTAACGAAAAAAACTTAGTAACTTTTTACCAGAATTCGTAGAGAAGCGATTGAAAGTAATAAAAAATTCAACATCCTGTATCTTGTAAACAAACGAAAATAGGAAATGTGAATATAAAATTGAATTTCTTTCATAGAAACAAAAGTCTATTGACTGTCAAAATTGTTAAGAAAAAAAACCTGCTCTAGCATTTAACCCTAATCTAGAAAATAAGTCGCTGATTTCCAAAATAATTAAATAAAGAGCTGTTTAATTAATTATATGCTTTGCGTTGTAGGCTTGGAGCGCCATACTTATATTTAAGTGATAAGCCAGATGCCTATAAGAACTCAAGATTTTATGGATTTTCTATGGATCTAATAACAGAAATAGCCAAAGAAAAGAATTTAACTTTCGAGTTTAAGATAACGGAGGGCGGTAGCTATGACAGCTTAATGAAAGATTTAGAAGAAAGGGTAAATAAACTATTAGTTCATTATTATTGTGAAGATGGCTAAATGTTTTTCCAGAGAGCGGATTTGGGAATTTGCGATTTTACTATAACACCACAACGAAGGGCAACTGTCGACTTCAGTATGCCATTCATGAATTTAGGTACAGTAACACATCGCACTTAGTGGACGTTTTTACACATAACAGCTCTTATGCATTAGCTTAACTAACGTTTGTAAGTAATTTATTTTAAAGATTCAATTTTTAAAGCATTAGTCAAATAAAATTGAAAACTTAATGAAGACTGATACTGAAACTGACTATGGGTTTTGACTACGGTCCGATCTAACATCGCTGGGAACTAAGCTTGATTGCTAGAAAAGCATTTCAAACACAAAAATTTCGTCGACTTATTAATGATATTGGTTCTGTATACGAATATTCGTTCTGTTGTGATTTTAAGTTTAATTTAATTAAATTTTAATTTAATAATTAATTTTGTTTTTTAAGTTTTGTCATTGGAAATTTTAATTGACGCATAAACTATGTATTCATACCGGCACCTATTCAAGCAAACACTTATTTACATCTTTATACTTAGGTATTAGTATTTTACACAAACAAACTACCCAGGTTGAAGTTGATAATATGTATGCATTCATGAGGCCGATTTCATGGAAGGTTTGGTTTTATATGACGTTTCTCAGTTTTGCCAGTTCACTCACAATGTTCATCGTTGCCAGGTCCATATAAGATTAACAAGACTCCTGCAATTATTCCGCATATCTTTTTTGCAGAATGGCACAACGCGAATGGGAAAATCCAAAACCATGGGACCCCGAATCAAAGGAGCTTGAAAATATTTGGACAGTGAAAAACTTTTTATGGCTGAGCTTGGGGTCGATTACTGCCCAAGGATGTGATATTCTACCAAAGTAAAAATTACCCATTAGTGTATAATGGGATGGTAAAATATTGATTATTGATCATTTTTTGTTGATTGAATGATTTTTCAGGGCAGTGCCAACAAGAGTTATTGCTGCATCCTGGTGGTTTTTCTCTTTGATCATTATGAGTTCTTATACTGCCAACTTAGCTGCTTTCTTGACAATGCAAAAAAGGGATTTTACTATCGATTCAGTGGAAGAACTGGCTGCTCAATCGAGAGTGAAATACGGTACATATTTAAATGTGTTATTATAAGTACAGCTTTATAATGTTTCGTGCGAAAAGTATCAATTTGCTCAAAAAATATTATAGAAGTTTGTAAGAAGTAACTGCTTTTCTTTTAAATTAAATTTAAATTTTAAAATTCAAGAACGTAAATTTGTGACAACGGGTCTATATTCATCCCGAAACTGTTAAGACAATCTAATATTAAAAAAACAAAACATTTTATTGTTCGCTGAAGGGGCATCATACAGTTTCTATCATCAATAGGCAGAAGGAGATGACAACATTTACAAATCAGTTTTTTGGGAAATAAAGTCCATACGATTTTTATTTAGGTACTACATGAATATATGTAGGGTGGAGTGGGGCAGGTTCGAACAGTTTTGGTTAAAGTGACTTTTATTTTCATTCATATGTTTTTAATTAAATAACACAGCAGTTTAAAAAAAACTTGTACAGTTTTTTGTAAAAAAGTAAAACAAAAAGTTTCATTTGTCGGAAGGTGCCCCATGGTGGGGCAGTTTTGAGGTAGATTTGGACATATACTTCAAAACTAGTTTTTCTTCGAAAAGTATATTTTCCATCCTTTAACATCGTTACTTACTACAACAAACATATTGACCCAAAAAAAAGGTAGGTAAATAATTAAAACCAGTTTTTGTTATTAAAATCATAAAATATGGTAAATTACTTTAAATTTAAAGAACTAAAATTCACATTGAATTTTAGTACATTCAATTGAAACAGAAGTTGCCCTGGGTAGTTTTGCCTTTATGTCACAGCCTGCGATGGCTGATCATCCACAGTGGGAAAGTCGAAACGGTTGTGCCAACGTCTTAAATCATTTAAAACAAACTCGCTGTATTCTGTAACCTGTATCACTAGCCTGACGTAATAAGCAATTGTTTTTTTTGTGGGAAATTTTACCAAAACGTAATCGTCACATAAGTCCTTATCATCTGAAAATTAAACACAAAAAAACTGTGTAAATATTTTGTCATTTTGTACCCAAAAGCTTAGTTCAATTAATCGCAATCGGATCACATGGCAATATCTGAATCAGATGAGGAAACAAAATTCTTTAAATTTTTTTATTAGAAATTTAAAAAACTCGAAATCAGAATCTTTTGCTCTTTTCATTGTCTTGCAGATATTTTTGGTTCTTGATATAGTTCCTAACCATCCCAAATCAAATGTTAAGTAGGTAAACTAATTAAATAAACATATTAAATAAACTAATTTTCAATAACATAAACTGTAAATAAATAAGTCGTGCACTTCCGTATAGTCCGAATGTACCCCACTCTACACTGTCCGGATGTGCCCCACATTCACAAAATGTAAAACAACCTAAAATTTTTAAAATTATACTGTCGATTTTCCAAATATACGTTATGTGTTTAAAATTTTGATTATACGTTTAACATATGCCATTTCAAAACCAAAAAATTACAACACCAAATAGTGCAAAACCTTACGAATAAATGACACTTAAAACGTACTTCAGATCAGTGTTTATTACTTTGGCTAATAACTTTTAAATCGCTTTGAATACTCACATAAAATTATACGGCACGGCGTAAAATAAGCAATACCAACTGTTTAAATACCGAATCACGTCTTGTTTCAAAAGGCGGTAAAATGAAATCGTCAGAATCAACCCCACTCTATCCTACCATAACTACGTCTTTTAAGCTTTTTAGAAGCTAACTAATGTTGTTTTCAGGTTTGCTTGAGAATGGATCAACACAAACGTTTTTCCAGACCTCAAACAACCCACTTTACCAAAAAATGTGGAGTACTATGAAGAACGAAAAACCATCGGTTTTTGTATCAGGCAACCTATCTGGAGTTGACAGAGTTTTATCAACAAAAAACGCACTTTACGCTTATTTCATGGAATCAACTGGAATTGAGTTTGAAATGGAACGAAAGTGTGATTTGCGAAGAATTGGAGGCCTGCTAGACTCCAAATCCTATGGAATAGGAATGCCGCTAAGTAAGTTTTAAAATCGAAGCATTTGTTACGGTTGATATAAGATTTGTTTTAACAGATGCTGACTATCGGCACACTATAAACAGCGCAATTCTGGTTTTACAAGAAAGTGGAAAATTGATGACATTAAAGGAAAAATGGTGGAAAACAGAAAGGGACGGCGAACCATGCAACAGGGTAAGTAAATGTTTGTGCGTAGTATTTCAAAAGGGGCTCAATAATATCTTCAATTTGGTCAACTTCAGGTCGTAGAAGAAGAAACTGATGCGCTGGCTTTATCAAACGTTGGCGGAATCTTTATTGTGCTCTTGGTAGGAATCGGCCTAGCCTATGTTATTGCACTATTCGAATTTTTGTGGAATGTTCGACAACTGTCTATCGAGGAACAGGTAAGGAAATTATTAAAAATACTCTACCTCATGCAAAGAAGTTGAATATTTGAAATGCTTCTTCAGCTATCAGTAGATCTTGAAAAAATCAAAATAGTAATTTATGTAACTAAAATGCTTGGACATTTTATTACCGAATCAGAAATGCCAAAAGTTCATAGCATAATCTTAATATAATTTGAGAAATTTTGGAAAATAATTGATAAATCTACTGGTGGTGAAAGCTTAGATTCACCTGTTGAAAGATCATGAAAAATCTTAGTGTTTCGCATGTTTAGCAAGATAATTTTAGTTTTAACGTACTCTGGTGGTTGCATAACGGTGTTCTTGTAAAAGTGTATATCGCTTTCCAACTGCTGCAACGATTACACTTTTATAAGCATAAATCCCACAGCCAAGTATTTTTGAGATCAGCGTGTGGAAATTGGTAAATAGGCTTGCTAATTTATATAGAAACTCATCAACCGCTTGTGATTAAATTTATACCGGTTATTGCCAACCACAATAGAACGTGTTGGATTAATTACAACTGTTTTTACTAATGGAAATGAAAATACTACAAGTATTTCCATGAGCGTGTTCAATTTGTACAACATATTGAAATTCGTTTTGGTTTTTCCGTAACAACAAAATGAAAACAAAAATTGCATTAAAAACTGGCAAATGGTTTTCCTTCAATATTAACAGAAAAAGTTTTCTTATTGCGCATTTCAACATCCTCTACATCGAAAACTTCGCAACATATCATTGAAAAACGAAGAATTTCTATTTTGGTCACCCCTGCTCGACTGGAAAACTTCGTTAAAAGTTTCGATCTTTCCTACTGGGTTTGATGGTATATTTATAAAGCACGCTGTATATTAATATTTTTTAATTAATTAATTCTTGTATAAAATGAATTCATGAAATACAGAATGTTGAAAGTTTACTAGTTTATTTTGTGGTTTATTATTTTTAACAGTTAATTTTTTTTGGTATGACTTGCTATCAAATAACATAGAAAATTCACAGCCGATTGAGATATGAAAATACTTAATTGCGGTGTGGCATTTATTAAATGCTAATTTGTTGTCTCAGAATTATGGATCAAAATTAAAAAAAAAACGTTAAATACGACGACTATATGAGAGTTCGTGATTAAGGAAGTAAAAATTTGGCAAATCAATTCCACTAAATCTGGTAAAAAATATAGATATTTTAACATGCACATTTCTACTGGTTTAAAACATTTCCATTTGACAAAAACTACTCACACAGATAATATAAAAAATAAGCAGCAAAACAGTATAACATTTTAAAAGCTAATTTATAATGTAAGCGCGGCAGTGTTCTATACAATTGTTAAAAAAATGTATTTCTTATTGTGCCGATATCTGTTCATAGCTAAAATTTGGTCCCAACGTAAACGGCGCTAAACGTATTCCAGTTTCAAGAGTATTGTGCATTTTTGACTAATATGCGATTGATTTTCAATAAATCTGACTTTCTATTTCAGCTCTCATACATGCAGACGCTAAAATGCGAAATAAAATTTGCATTTAGAATATTCGAGAAAAAGAAACGAGTGAAACCAGTTCCGTCGGAACCGTCTGCTTCCACTAACTCAGTTCCGGTGCACAATTTCGACCAAATGAGCGTGACAAGAAGCGTCTTTAGCAAATCAGCCACTTTGCTAAATTTCAGTACAGAACCTGACAATGTGCTGAGACACCGGCGAAGAAGATTTTCAAGAATTTCTCGCACCAGTAGCCATTTGAGATCTCAATAGTCGTTTCAACTAAAATATTTATATATTTTTTGTTACATATAAAGTGCTATCAAATAAAATTCTAGTCGAACTAATAGTTTTGGTCAGTAGATTTTAAGGACTGCAAAGCACACTTAAAATTACTTTTAAAAATTACCTTTTTTTATGTTCCTACTTATTCATAAATCAATGCAGTGTGTTTCAAGACACTTTGCAAATACTCTAAAATTGTCTTACAGTTATTGCATTTCTGATGTTTGTCAGATTTTGTTAACATTCTTTGAATGTGTTTGAGATATCAGGAAACTTAATAAAAATACAGAGCGTTCCAGAAATGTGCAAATTGCACCAAAATAGTTCTTGGGATAGGTAGGATCTCAAGCGAAGAAAAGGTACGCTTGTTTACCATTCAAAGGCAAAGTTGGTCAAAACAGAATGTGCTAATCATTTCGGAAAATTCCTTTTATTCATTATTTCTATTATTGTGAAACCAGATTATGAGAAGATGGCGGTTCGTATATCATATTTGCCTTTTTGAGACAAGTTTAGCTGAAAACCAGTAATTTAAAGATGAGTGATTTGTCGAAAAAACTCTTTAGTTGGTTATCAGTTGATAACCCATCGATGTATGGTTCGTTTAATGATAAATTTGACCCAAAATGTCGAATTTGCTGTCAGAATTCGCCTAGAGTGGCTTTGAAGCGAACGTGTAAAATGATGGTACGGATGTCGCTTTCCAGTATTTATATCTTAAACTCCTTCATCCAAGTTTAAGTTATTGTGTTTTGACAGCACTGTATATTCGAGTCTAACCACTTGAGGTTGGATACATTTGAAACAAATAGAGTGCCACTAATTCTTTCAATGTTGACCAGAAATTTTTGCATTTTAGCGAAAAAAATTAAAATTAATGCGTCAGGGTCTTCTGCAGTTGGTTTTTCGATCATCGTGCTTTTGCTTCAAGAATAGCAGCTTGAAGCATTTTCTGGTTCAAAACTTATAAGTTTCGCACAAACCATGAAATTTCTTTGGGCTGAAATTCTAGCGGAAACCGAGTTCCATGTAATTGGATGGTTTTGAATTCATATTTTTTTCTTAATTTGGTCTTTTAAAACTTTTCAAAACTGTTTCTCTTTATTTATCGATCATGGCAATCTTTCAGTCAGACTAATATACAGCATGTAATTTTTGCAAGAAAAAACTAGGATGAAAAGTTGGGGTTGTTAATTCAATATTCTCAGCCGGTTTATTTTATTTAAATGTTAGGCGCTAGAAATGAAAAACTTTCTTCGAAAGTTCAACTTTCTAAGCGTAAAATTTCTTTGTGGATCTTTCTTCAATCTTTGAAGAGATCGTGTAAGCAGTTTTCTTGCAGTCCGAAAAATAGTCGATTTTGGTGAAATTCAAAAAATAGAAAACTGAAAAATTTTACGGATGAATAGTCTAATTTTCGACATTTAGAATTACATAAATCAGCCAACACTTATCTCGTCTGGTGCAATACTAATAGTATTTTTCTATATCTTTATTTGTGTATAAAATATAAAAAGTTTAAAACTATAAAAGTTGCTATAAATTTCCGTTAAAATAAAACTAGTACAAGCGTAATAAGTTGTTTCCATGTATAACAGAAAGTACCWATCATGRAGGCGGAGTTTCAAACAGTTATCACTTAAACAAAAATATAAAATTCGTTAAAAAAATGCACGCTCTTCRCAAAACAAAAACAATAGTTGTTGACAATAAATCTCATTGYGGCGTCTTGCAGTTAATGGCTTTGAGGTAAACAATCCACGAGACAAACGTTACAAGCACAATTGTTTGAGCAGATGGTGTTTTCTAGCGATTTGTAGTCAAATTAATCACATTATTTATGTCATCCATGCTAGCCATTTTCACTTTATGTAATAAATGTTTCAGTTTAGCAGACACATTATTTTTAGAGTATGGGTAGGTAGAAATAAATGATTGCCTGTATAGAAAATAGAGTGGTCATGGCCACGGCAAATACGCAAAGTATGATAGTTCCAGAATTATGCCGGTCTAAAATAAGAGAGCGTCTGCAAAGTGTAATTTATTAATACTTGCATTTTAAGTGCCAAAAAGTGTGCAACAAAAATAAATCACCCAGTYATTCGTATTTATTATTTYCTGCTTTTCCAATAAATTGCACAATTAAATGGTTTAAATGTTAAAACATTTTAATATTTTTTTAAGTCACTAGAATAGTTGAKTATAGTTACKTTAAAAAGATTGAGGTGATCAGCAATAAAGGAGTTTAGGTTGCGTTTWGATATAGTTCTGAGATAATCAGTGTAAAATTATCTGGACATTTTCATATTTTAGCAGATATTTAAAAAATATATCGGTTAATAGGTAACAAAACAGGAGCAAAAATCATATTATCTTCTTAATGTCAAATAATAATTGCCTTTAGCTACTAAATTATCCACTTAACTTATTTTTCTTAAAACGTGCTCTTGAACATATGTCCGGCTTCTTTAATTGTCCTAAGTCTATAGGCCTTGCCATTTGGAAAAATCAAGCCAAAGATCGAAAAATTCACAATGCAGATAATGGACATCATATGAAAATTGATCAAGCTAAAAGTAAGAACTGAAAAAGACATTTATTTAAATATAGTATACAAAACTGTTGAGGTGCAAAAGGTACTTAATCGGACCAATTAGTAGATACATAAAACATAGAAGACTAAGCTGGAATACTATGAAGAATTGCCCAATTTTTAATGTCTTAGTAAAACAGAAAATTAAACTATAATTATGAAAGTGCTAATTAGCAAAATTATATCTACAATCTTGTTAATTAATGACCCTATTCTGCAAAAGTGCACCTAAATATAAAAAACTTCGCAAAAACTCTTACCACTAATGAACCTCACACTAATATGTAATTAGGAATGGCAGTATTAACAGCAAATATGTTATATATTTTTTTAAATCTATTTGCAATGTCTCTTGCAATAACCAGACATTATGCATCTCATAACTTGCTGTCTGACAGACAGAGAAGAATATTCCTTCTCTATCTATACGGAAGATCCAGCAGGCATTTAAAACCGTCAATGTGCTGAAAAGTATTGCAACGACCTGGTAGTTAAGTTTGGCTTATAATTATAGCAAAAATTAATTAGCGGCTTGACAGTCTGGGGCTATTTTTATAGACGATAGAAAAATTATTGGCTAAGCACCAGACCTAGGCACTCAAAATATTTCCTATGTTTAATAAGCAAGTTTGTAAAGTATTGCAACTATTTGAAAGGACGATGCAACAAATTTAATCGGCAGCCTTTAGTTTATTTTATTTCTATTGGTTTCTCAGATTTTAATTAAACTGGAAATTGATGGGTGTCTACGGAGTTTTGTGGGTGTTTTGTTTTGTGTGGCTCTTTTGTCTCGGATTCACCAAAGACAGAATTAACGTCGGTAAGCAGAGTGGATGCAATAATGCTTTATTGTACTTTCTAAATTATAAGTAATTACAATGTTTTGGAAAGACCGTCGACGATTTCAACGTGGTAAAACAAAACAATAAATTAAAAAAATATATTTGGTATTTACTTAAGAGATAAATGAATGGTAATCAGTATTTATTGTGTTTGCAACTGCAAGTCGTATTTATTTAGTTATTTTCCATGTAGCTGTAGCTACGACAGTTTAAGAGAATAAGCTTTTTGTGAAGATCGAAAAACAATAGGTCGATAACAACTTAATGACTGAAACAAATGTTATGTGATGATATTTAATCTTCTTGAACTGTCTGCACCGGTAATATTCAACAGAAAGATTAATAAACAGTTCCAAAATTCCAATAATAACTGGAAGAACATGTCTGGGATTGAACAAAAAATTTCGAAGACAAGGCTCATAAATGAAAAACATAAAGAACTCATACATAAAAGTACTTAGGGAGGCTTTAGGAAAACGAAACAGATTTTTGAGACTACCAATGTATGAACAGCTGTAGTACCAATCTCAAGAGAATGATTTTCAAAGCAATCATCATCCAGGGCTGTTAGCAGTATTTTCTAAATTTATTATAAAATGTCGATGCCTTCAATGTTAAAATATCAACAAATTTTATTAACAACTTAAATTATATGACATTGCATTTAGTAATGTACTGAATAAAAATGTAATTTACATTAAATTTATTTTTACATTTGCTGCATCTGATTACATAATATATTCAATCGTGCTACTGGATGATATAGAAAAGTTTATGCGGTTTTCAAAAATGTTCGAATAAGCAATTCTCCACGACTGACTGCTTAGAGAAGATATTTCAACAGCAAAACAATAAGTATCCAAAATACGGTTTTCTGTTCCTTGTGTAAAACTACCATTGTTTTCAAGTCAATTTAAATATCGTAATTTTTGTTAAAGAGGGAAAGAAGGCAATAAGTGGGAGCCAGATCCAGTAGTGTTAAGAACGTCATTTAATTTGTGATTTTGATCGGTTTATATTACTGAATATTATTGAAAGCATTTTTCTTTGAGACTATTATTTCTAGTAAATTAAGTGTTAATAAACCAATTGAAATATTGCAGGCCTAATTACCGATGATAATGAAGCACTAGGAGATATCAACTGGAATATGTTGATAAACGAAATTGGCAATGAGGATGAGGTTGAAATTCAAAACATCAACTTATTGGAAAATGATTTTCTAAGATCAATGGATTCCTGTAAGTAGATAACGTGATATGTTGAACCGCGGTGTTTCTAACGAAAACTGTACATTTGAACCACAATTGACTGTGGCCATACAATATGACATCGCAAGCTTCGGATTGTCGGGTTGAATATAATAACATAACGTCACATCGGTCGAATAGTGCAACTTCCAAAAACGATAAGTTGCGGCTTCGAAATAAGATTTTTTTGGTCAATAGTACAAGAAAATATTCTTTAAAAAAATTGCCAATCTGGTCAACATGATGCGTTTCCATGAATGCTAATCTGATGGAGGGTTAATGCGTATCGACAAATGTTTCACACTCTTAAGATTGGAATTTCAACAGCGGGTAAATTTAGAACGTTTGCACATTGACCCATGTTCATTTCAAC